GCTGGTGCTTGCGCTCCAGCCCTGCAGGGGAGCCAAGGGGCTGGAGCTCCAGTGTGGGCTCCCCAATGCTGGAGGTGGGGGAGCTCTGAGTCTTCGGGGCAGGATCCAGGCAAATCAGTGGCCAGATTTGGCCCCCCAGGCCTTAGGGTCTCCAGCCTGGCCTAAACAGAAGAAAGAGAGACATCGCCTACCCCAAAGTATTCACAATCTAAATAAACATTTTGTCATGATGAGCTGAATATAAATCTGAGTAGGCAACTGGCCCGCGCTAGGTGTCATATTCATAATTTGGAAGGAATCCATGGGTCTGACCTCATTTGCATAAAGTAGAACAAATTACAGCCAACCTGGTTTTCTTAATAGTTATGAGAGGTGGCAGCCCACCTGAGATTGCAGGAGCCATAATACAAGGTCAGGGTAACCAAGGGGACCGAGGCAGAACATTCCATGTTGGGTCCAGTTACATCCTTGGTGACACTCAAACTGCAACAGACAATGGGCAACATCCATAAGGACTTGTCACCTCTCAGGCAAAGCTCAGACTGAGATGGGGCAGTGCCCACTGGTACCCATCATCTCTGTGGGCAATGCTGAGATCCTGTGTCCACAGGACAATATTCACAGTGAGAGAAGGTGGAGGACCTGATGAGATTAATTGGCTGAGAGCCAAGATAGGGTACTTCCCAAAGACACCTGGCAGCTCTCTGGTGGCCCTTGAATCATGATGAGTTTGTGCCCACTAGAATCCATTTTCTCAACACCAGTGTTCAAATGAGAATGAGGCAATGTATGCTGGGACTGTCACATTTGTGGCTGTGCTCAGATCAGTGTAGAGGGGATCACTTGCCAGGATTATCTGGATGTATCTCACTTCATCCTCTACTGTATGAGCACCAGTGCACCCAAACCCTCTCTTGCAAGCCAATACCCTGTCCCAGATGGAGCCTGCACCCAGCACTTGCTCCCTGATGTCTACCTGCACCCAAACTCCCTCCCAGCACCTGCCCCCCAGGCTCCCAGCTGCACCCCAAACCCCCAGACTCCCACCTGCACACTGACTCCCTCCCAGCACTTGGTCCCAGACTCCCCCCTGCACCCCAACTCCCTCCCAGCACCTGCCCCCCACTCTCACCTGCCCCCCAACTCCCTCCCAGCTCCTGGCCCCAGACTCCCCCTGCACCCTACCTTCTGCCCACACCCCAACTCCCTCCCAGCACCTGCCCCCCACTCTCACCTGCCCCCCAACTCCCTCCCAGCTCCTGGCCCCAGAC